TATATATATTGGATGTGATTTCATTATGTGGGATTGCCTTTGCCTGCTAATAAAGTCTATCTAGGCGACCTTTATTTCCTCTCATTTATTGCACAATTCTGTGCTCATATTGTACTACACATCACTGTTAAATCAGTTTTGTATTTAACAAAAAGCAAAATGCAAGAACCATAGGTTGATATATAAATTAGATGTATATTTATGTATGTAATTTGTTCACAGACAAAAAAAAAGTTGTGCACATGTTTATGCATCTGTTAAAAACGGTACGATCTAGTGTGTGTTTAGGTATGGCATGATGGATTTCTAGCTGTCTCCACACGAAGGAGCTGCTGCTTAACGTTAATGTTGAAATGACTGAGCTAAATGCGGAGAAATGGAGGTGCCTGTAATTAGATCTGGAACCTGAGCTCAATCCATTGCTTAGAGCGCCCTCTTCCACACTGACTGTACATACAACCGAATCATCTCCACCACTGCTACATCTTCTCTGCAGCTTCTAAACGCTGGATTGATCGCCCATCTACGTTCTTTAATTGTTTATAATTGAAAGTATTTTTTTTTTAATGGGACACCTCATTTTAATGTGCACATAGTTAAGGCAGGCCAGTCATATTGATGGCGATTGATGGAAGAGCCAGGTTCTGATATCTAGATGGGGATCAGGGAATCACACCGATTAAATCAGAGGAATTTTCGCTGATGAAAACAGAGCAGGAGCTCAATATTGTTAACAGGCATTTAAAGGAAAGCTTCTTAGTATCTGTGGACTTAGGTTGTTCATATATCAAACAGGAGAACTAATGCTGCACAGATGGAGCAGGCACATCTGCAAGTGATTGATACACTATAGTAAAAGTACGTGCAGTCATAAGTAATGCTAGTAAAACAAGTCTGCCTCAATGACATCGCTTTTCCAATTTGTATATTAACTAAATTATAACAGTTGTCATTTGTACGATAAATGACTGTATGTATGAATATATCCTTTCGTGTTCAACCTCATAAAGTGGACCGATCTCTATAAGTTTATTAATCTTTTGAGTCATATTATTTAAGACAAGTGGAATACTTCTAGCTGAGCATCCAATTCCATTGTATTTACAGTTAACCTAACCTGCAATCGCTTAGGAAGAGCTACAAGAATAGAATACAGTCGCTAAAATTGTATTCAATTAGAAATCCGAAACTAAAAGTTTAGTAATTACTATTGTCGTGAAATGAGGACACCTACAATACCACAAATCTACACTAAGTAATAACAACTTAACAGCAGACACCTAACTTCCCAAACAAGTTGTATGTTCCCAAATAATTATCTCTCATTATTTAAAGAAATCTAAAAATAGCAACCAGTTAGAAAAAGAATTCACATACATTAATACAAGTCCCCAAAATCTCCTAATAAGCTGCTTTCTTTTTTTTTTTTACTAGAAAGAAATATCGGGCATAGTAACTACTTATTTCTCCAAAGACATGCAAAAATCTGTACTATTTATTCATAAACTAAAGGCGTTTTCCCTGCCAATAAAGTACAAGTCACTTCAAAGAAACACAACTCTTTCGCGAGATACTTTCCAACCCAGATTCGGTTTTTAAATGCATTTGCATTAATTCAGAAATAAGTCGTAATATTCACATGGTGACCTATTTTTATGAGACTCCTCGATCACAGCTCTTTAAACTTGGCATGCAAAACTCTGCACACATCAAACTTCTACTATTTCGGGATCTGTTATTAAAATACACATTAAATCTATAGATGAATATCACTACAATGTAAACAAAAGATAGTTTAACGGGATTAAAAGTTGTAACAAAGTACTCACACAGTGTAAAAACATTTACAAGTGTCTCCTTGGCTTCCTATGGAGTAATAATGACTAAATCGAATAACCGGAGTGATTCCAAGCTTCCCAAAGTATACAATTTCTGCTCTGTCAATTCAGCCTTATTGTATATGTAGAAAAAAAAAGGAATGTGTAATTTCAGTACCGTCCCTCACAGTAAATTTAACGGAGTCTCTATGCTAATTCCCTCCAATTGATTTAGCTGTCTCAATCAAGTGTCTGAAGCTTTGAGGCACAGAGAAATATATGATTAAAACTCTGAGACAAAGAGGAATGTTTTATTCAGATGCTATGGACTCGTATCGATTCTTCCGTACAGGCACTTACATGGAAATGTGTACAGTGCAGGGAAAGCGCAATTTTGTCATAAACATTTTGATATTATTTTATTTTATTTTTTTAAAACACTAATGCAAATTAGACGGGTTACTGCAGATGGTCATCCTTGTGGCAATGTATATTAAGATTACCATTTCATCCGGATACTGTCCTGACAAATTGGGTACTCTTGATGGAGAATGGCTGGTAGTCCGACTGCACTTGTTTTATTTTTGGAAGAGTGCGCCTCCTACGGGTCACATCAGAGATCTATCGCTGGAAACAAAATCCCAATGGTTGTCTAATATCTGACTAAATATCTATATAGATAG